ATACATGACAAATTTACATTTCATGGAGATAAATATACATTACTAATCTCACATTAGACAAATAATGACTGATGCTAATATATTATCCATCCAGTATAAAGTGACAGGTTATGACCTTATAGACAGACATTCATGTTTCCAATGCTTTAGTTTCTACATCTAAACATTTCTAAAGTTATATCATATATATTCCATGAACTCTATATTACAAATCTCACCTTAGACAAATAGTGACTGATGCTAATATATTATCCATCCAGTGTAAAGAAGTGACAGATTATGAGCTTATAGGCAGACATTCACATTTCCAACACTTTAATTTCTACATCTAAACATTTCTAAAGTTATATCATATATATTCCATGAACTCTAAGAGAAATGTGAAGTACCACAAGGATATATTCATTTTGATAATAACAAAACCCTCCAAACATATCTGAAGGTGCCCACTAGAGGTTTCTGTATCTGGCTCTGAGCACACTAACATCTACACAAATCTTACATCTACACAGAGCATCTCAGATACAGCACAAGTGCAAGCAAATTCTAATTCTGGGTCTGGTTTGTTTGCAGCTAACTCAGATTAATCCTTCAAAAATAAGAATGGCTCAGCCTGTGCTGTAAAAAACAAAACTGTTCTCCACCTTCTGTAGTGGGAATCCACTGCCTTGGCTGCTCCTGGAGAATGTCATCAGTGGGGCAGAGCTGAAGTGTGGGCTGATGCGTCAGTGCTGTGATTTATACCAGCACAGAGAAATCAACTCTTTATTTACCTGTGGTGTCTCATGAGGTCTGATTCAGAAATTGTAGCTGGCCTCCCAAAGGAAGCAATCACAGAAAGAGGAGGGACGTTATTGTTTCCTCTGTGATTCCATGCAGAGTAGAAGAAATTCTGAAGATTTTTTTTTTCTGAGACACTGAACAGTGAAATAATACCTGCTAGTGTCTACTGATTTTTGTAGGGCAAAGTAAAGTAAAAACATATCCTGAGGCAGAGGATATGGCAGTCTTTTACAAAAAGGCAATCTAGAAAAATATTTTAGTGCCCTAATCTAAATCAGCAACCTTAACTGATAATGGCTTTTGGAGTGAGTGATTTTGGATAAGTGCAGTTGTACCCACACTGGAGTTATGTGTACAATCTTCAGAGACACAAATAGCCAAGCTATGCATTTTCTGAATTTTATCATATAGTTGAAATATGTTCAGAGCAAAAGGAGGATCAGAGTTAACATTGATCTGTCACCTGAGGAGGTCACCTGCCTCCCAAACAGAGCTGGGGAGCTGCTGCAGGATTCTGTAGCACAAAAAGCACAAAACCTGATGTGGTTCCTCCATGCTGCCAGGGGGGAGCAGTCCCTGGGTCAGCTGTGTGTAAAATCTCCCTCAAGCTGGTCTCATGTGAATCAGGTATCTTCCTTAAGCCAGAACCATGACTACAATTACATTCATACAGTGAGGATAATGGGAATTTAGCATCTAGGAGAGCTGGAATTACAGAAGTTATTTGGCTGTTAGGGCATAGTTTGATTTATTTTGTAAATATGTAAGAATCTAGTGACATTTGACATACCTTATGGTATGCTGTTGATTCTAACTTCTGGCCAAAGGCACATGTGCATGCTCAGGAATGTAAGGGCATCTCATGAAGAAGACAAAATTATTTAAAATAATGTCAGAGCATGGAGAAGGGAGAGCAGTTAGTGTTCTTACCTCATTTCTGTCAGGCTGGTGAGGGTCCAACTACCATGGACCAATTTTGGGATCCCTGCAATTCAAGGAAAATGTGGATAAACTAGAGAGGTGCTTAGCAAGGCCTGCTAAGGTATGAAGATATGACTCAGGGTACGCACCATGAAAAGAAGTTACTGGGTTTGTTCAGTATGGGATATTGGAGGCTGTGCTGTGGTCTAACAGTGACAAGCTATAAAAAGGGACAAAACCAATGATTTGCACCTCAGTAGCTGCTATTTAGGCCATTGGATGTGAGGTCAGAGCAGTGCTTGAACAGCTTTCCTGAGAGATTTCAGTACCTCTGACATTCTCATCTCTCAGCTAGAGAACAAGGCACAGCTGATGTAACAGACATGGGCAGAGTTATGCTGTAAAAGGGAAGTGAAATTATAAATATATTCACATCTGGAGTACTGCACCCAGCTCTTGGCTCCCCAGTGGAAGAGTGACATGGATCATCTGCACAGCATCCATTCCCTGGATAGGATTGAACATATTGCTCAGTGTTGAAATCTGCTCAGTGGGTACCAGATTGTCTTCCCTAAACATCAATTTCTGTTGCAGTTTGAGATGCCACAGACTTTTCCATTTGACATCCAGATCACACAAAAACTTGGGTTGGATGGACAGAACTTTACTTCCAGAATATTTTAACTCACTCTGCTGTCACAAACACATTTCAGAGTGGTCAGGTTTTTCAGGGACTTGTCAGGTCAAGCTTTGCAAAGCTCAAAGGACAGAGATTTCATGACCTTTCTGGGACTGTGATGTGGTGCTTCATCACTCTATCTTATCTGAAGTTAATTTGTTGGAACAAGTTCCCGTTGCTTTTGTCTTTTCAGGCATGCACAATTAAGAATTGCCTATATCTCCTCTGCAAGCCTCTTCAGGTGGTGGCAGACTGCAGCTAAACACCTCCTCAACATTCTCTTTTCTTAAAAAACTGCTCCCATCTGTCCCTCTCTGTGTGCTGTGTGCTCCCACCCTTCTGTCATTTGGTAACTCTGCTGGAATGTCCATTTTGTCCTTCTTCTAGTGGGAAGTGCCTAACTGGACACAGTAATGTTGATGGAGTCCTGGGTAACAAACAGAGCCCAGGATCATTTATCATCAGGCCTGCTGGTGCAAGATTTTGTGTCTGTGTGTTAAATTACCTTAAAGTTCTTCCTGACCCTCTCCTCTGAATGTTGCTTTAGGAATGATCTGTGTTTAGACAACTGATTCTTCTCTTAGTGCTTATATCTCCTCATGTGATGTAGAAGGACTGCAGGAAAATAACATTTAAAAATCGGGAGGCTCATTTAGCATTTAAAATGGAAATTAAACTTTGCAAATGAACTCTCTTCCCCGAAAGTAAATGTTTGTCTTCTGAATCTGAGCTACTTCCCAAAGTTATATGTGAAGTTAATGAAGAAGAAACTTTTCAGTGGTGGTTCATGGTCTCCTATCACAGCTATCTAAAATGACTGTTTTTATCTGAATCACTGAAATACTGCCTTCCTCACTCATTCCTGTGAAGAAAGTCAACATAACTATTTATTTGATGCCTCAAGTTCTTGAATCTAGTTTCATATTGAGTTGGATCAAGGTCAGAATGCAATTTTGTTCTTTGATGTATACCAAAAAAATGCATTAAGAGAAGGCAATTATGTTACTTAATAATTACATAACATATGTTATGTTATGTAATTATTACCTTTTTAACTCCTTGGGAATGATGAGTGATGTGTTCAGTTAGAAAAACCTTTTACATTCACAGAGTCATAGATTTTAGCTGAACATGCAGATTGACTCGGGAGAAGGAATTGTTAAGCACTGATGTTGAAAGAGACCCCCAATAACCATTTCTGTCAAAGTAGAAATCTCATTAGACTTTCATAGGATTTAGACACATTCAGTTGGAAGATCAGCTCCTGCCACTGTGATATTTTTATGAAAAATCCCTTTGCCAGGATTTTTTCTCCTGAGAAGCTGGGAAGCTTCGGCTTCTCCCTGTTTTCTACTTTGGAATGTGATTTGGAGAATTGTTGCTTAATGTTTTTACTTAATGTTTTTACTTAATGACCAATCCCAGTCCAGCTGTGTGGTCTGTCATGGGTTTTTATTATTCATTCTTTTCCTAGCTTTCTGATGTATTCCTTTCACTATTCTTTTTAGCATAGCTTTAGTATAGCATTCTTTATTATAATATCATAATATAATAAATCAGCTTTCTAAGAATTATGGAGTCAGATTCATCTCTTCCCTTGTCCTGGGACCCGTAAACACATCAACAATCTCCCAAGCATTACATTAGTGATCAGAGGCAGAAACTCTGGAGAGTTTCTTGCTACACAAGACCTTCAGTAAAGTGTCCTTCACCTCCTGGTTCCTCAGGCAGTAGATGCATGGGTTCAGCATTGGGGTGACAATGGTGTAAATGATGGAAACCAGTTTGTTGAGATCCCTGGAGTTCACACTCCTGGGCCGAGCGTACATGAAGAGGGTGGCTGAGAAGAAAATGACCACCACAGCCAGGTGAGAAGCACAGGTGGAGAAGGCTTTCGTCCTGTTCTGGGCCTTGGGAATGAGCAAAACAGTTCTGATTATGCAGGCGTAAGAAATTATGATGACGGAGAGAGGGATCAACAAAGTAAACAAGGCCGAGATGAAATCCACCATCTCAGCAAGGCGCCGCTGGGTGCACGAGAGGTTGAGCAGCGGGCTGATGTCACAGAAGAAATGGTTGATGACCCCAGGCCCACAGAAGGAGAGCTGGGCAATGAAGAAGACCTTGAGCACAGCGATGAAAAAGCCAAGCAGCCAGGAGCCCGTGGCCAGCTGCAGGCAGGCCCTGCGGCCCATGGCGAGCGCGTAGTGCAGCGGGGTGCAGATGGCCACGTAGCGGTCGTAGGCCATGGCGGCCAGCAGGACACACTCCGTGCACACCAGGGCGATGAAAAAGTACAGCTGGGCCATGCAGCTTGCAAAGGAGATGCTCTTGTTCTTCACCACCAAGGTGAGCAGCAGCTTGGGGACGGTGACTGAGATGTAGCAGGCCTCTAGGAAAGCGAGGTGGCCCAGGAAAAAGTACATGGGCTTGTGGAGCTGGGGGTGGGTTATGATCAAAGTGATGATAACGATGTTCTCGGTGACAGTCAGCAAATACATGGTGAGGAAAAGTACAAACAGCAGAGCCTGGAGCTCTCTGGTGGTAGGGAATCCCAAGAGGACAAACTCATGGATGTGGGTTTCATTTTCTTGTGGCATGATCTTGAAGACCGGGAATGTTGTGGTATTTACATTTTCTGAAAAAATCCCTTTGCTCAGGATTTTTCACCTGAGAAGCTGAGAGGCCTCAGAGAAAAAAGAAAACAATTTTAATTTAATTTTCTGCTCCTGTGTTTTTCTCATCCACAATGTGTTTACCCACAGGTGATTGTTTCAATAAATTCTGGTGTGAGTTGTTTTCACTCTTTGGCCAGTCACTGCCAAGCTGTGTGGAGACTCTAAAAAGAATCACAGGTTTGCATTATTAACTTTTTAGCATTCAGTAAGTATCCTTTCTGTATTCTTTAGTATAGTATAGTATTTTTAATATAATATAGTATAATAAAGTAATAAATTGGCCTTCTGAGAACATGGAGTGAGATTTGTCATTCCTCCCTGCCACGAAAATCCCTTCAAATACAATAGAATGTATGAGGAGCAAAAAGGAAAGAAATAAGGGAACATTTTGTATTATCTCCCCCGAGCACCCTCTTCATACTGGACTTGCAAATACATAGTTTAAAACATTCCACACCAGTTATTTAATTTACATCCCTTATTATTTAACCATTCCTTATTATTTTACCACTTCTGATTTTTTTTTTTTGTGGCCTACAGCAGGATTGGTGATTCAAATCCTGGCTTCAAGAAAATATTTGGGCTTCACTGATCTCTTCACAGACCTTCTTACCCCTATCTTCACTTAAAACACAGCCAGAGGGGAAGAGACAACATTATTAAATGTGTATTTGATCTCAGTTTGAGCTACCCCAGACAGAAGCACAGTCCTGCTGAGTGACTGCACTCATGCACAGCAAACTTGAGCTGGTTTATGTCTCACTTACTCCTGAATATTTGCAGAAGAAAATTAGTGTTTATTCTCTCACACAGAGTACTTTAAATAAGTTTGCTAAGGTTAAGGGATATATGCATTTGGGTTTTTATTTCAAAATTGTAAAGAACCCGTGCAGCTGAAAATTTCTCTCATTTTCAATGAATTGACTAAAATAGGCCACTTGTCCCCTCAAATAAGTTTTTACATAGTCTTAGACTACAATAATTACAGTAGCCATCCATCATTTTTCTTTTGCATTAATTGATAGAATTAATCTTGATTTTTCATTAAATACCTGAAGTTTGATGTTTATGCCTCTTCTTTTCTACTTCTTAGGGAAGATTCCAAACATTTTTTACATATTCCTCCACATTCCTATCCAAATCTCAAATTACTTTCTAGAATGATGTACAGTATATGTTACTAACAAAATATTTTCCATATAAAACATTAAGAGAAAAAATCCATTAATATTATGAAGAAAAATAAATATGTATTTTTGTCATATCATTATTTATTTGTCTTTGAGATTCAAAATATTTACTTCATATTAGATTTTTCTCTTGCATATGGATAATCTGTGTAGAATCAATCTGATTACATAACTTATATATTTCATTACAAGTACATCACTGCTGCCAAATAATAAAGTGACAGAATACTAAATACAATTTCATTTCTAAGGATGGCTTTCACGTCTCCCAGCCTTCCATCAGATTTAAGCTGTGGTAAATTCTCACAGGAAATACAGGTAACTCATTTTCCAGTTTCAAGCAGTACAAGGAAAAAAACCTAGTTTAAGTGATTTAGCACGCTATAGAATCTAAACCATAATAGAAAAGTGTCTGAACCAAAAGGATATCAAAAAGAGAAAAGAAAAATTATGGTTCCCCATTCTATTATAGGCTTTTAAAAATCCAGATCTACCTTATAGCACATTAAAATATTGACTAGCACTACTACAATTTTAGAAGGGTGGTTAATTGGAGCAATTCAGGTACCTGTCCTCAACTAACACAGCAGTCTCAGGTGGCACAGTAAGATAATTTCCATATTTCAAGAATTAAGCTTTTCAATGTAAAAATAATGGTGAATGTTTTTTTACATTCTAGTCCACTGAAAGTAGAATAAAAATGCCTTTTTTACCACATGAACATGCCCAGAAGCCCTGCTATTGCATAGAAAACACAGAGTGAGGGAAATGTTATATTTAACTTATGCTCTCAACAGAGGTTCTAAGATTTTTAAAAGCACATAAAGTACAATAAGAAATTTCCATATTTCTGTCTTTTAATCTGTTAAATCCAGCTCTGTTTTCCTTTCCAAGAAATCCCTCTCTCTTCTCTCTCGCACTTTGAGAAACATGTCCACGTTTCTCTTGAAAACTGCTCAGAGCATCAGAGAATCCCAGAATCACAGCATCCCAGACTCCCAGAATCCCAGACTGGTTTGGGTTGGAAGAATTTTAAAACCCACCCAGTGCCACCCCTGCCATGGCAGGGACACCTTCCCCTGTCCCAGGCTGCTCCCAGCCCTGTCCAGCCTGGCCTTGGGCACTGCCAGGGATCCAGGGGCAGCCCCAGCTGCTCTGGGCACCCTGTGCCAGGGCCTCCCCACCCTGCCAGGGAAGAATTTTTTTTCCAATATCTGATCTAAACCTGTTCCTTTTCAGTTTGAAACCATTCCCCCTTGTTGCTCCAGTTCCTGATAAGAACTGGGAATGCCATTTCCAAGACACTCACAACCTGTCTTGGAATTCTCAGAGCTTAGTTGAGATCAGATGAGAAGAAACACCTCTAACAAACCTAAAGAAATGAAAGGCTTTTTGTCTAACAAGAGATCATATCTGTGCTTTTCTCTCCCCCATTTAGCTAAACCTTACCCCTGTGCTGTTCAGTTTCTCTCCAGGCTGGAAGCTGCTTTGTTGGTGGCTGCTTTGTTAAAAGCTGTGAGCACAAACAGTTCCTGCAGGCTTTTGTCACTTCAGCTGAGCCTAAGATTTCCCAGGACGGTAAAATATCTCTCAGTATATTACCCTTCAAAGCCCAAGAGAGCTGGGAACAGAATTAGAGGGAATAATTTCCTCTCTTTTGTCTAAACCTCATGGAAGGTGTTGCTCTGCTGGTGGTTGGTTGTTTGCTTGCTAATTTTTTTATGTGCTAATTATTGTAGCACTATTCATACTTTTTTTTTCCTTTCTCCCAAGTCACTGCTGTGTGTGACAAGGCATCAGAGCAGAACTCAGGACATTTGTACTTTGCTGGTGGCTCATGATGGGGAGCTCTGAGCACTAAAACTCTTCACTTATCAGTGCCTTAGTCTCTCTGTACTTTAAATTGTGGAAGAGGTTTTACAGCAACTTCTGTGAGCGAGAGGGAAGTTTAAGAAGAGGATCCATGTTTACCCCTGAAAGAATTTCCTACCAAGGTCATTGATGCAGAAACCAAGAAAGAAAGAAGGATAAATAAGAGAAACCTGCAACTGCCTGTTCCAATGAGCACTTTGTCACTGGTGACCAATGAGTAAAGTGTAAACATATGAGTTTTGTAAGAAAGTATAAAAAGCATGCAGGCTATAATAAAAACAATTTGAAGCCTTCTGAAAATGGAGTGTTGCTTTGTGTTGTCTCCATCTCAACCATGACATTAAATAATTATTGCACTGGTTTTGAATATTACTTGAGGTTCCACAAAGAAAGTAGTACCCAAGCATTAAGTATCAATAATATTTTAGGTATATATTAGGCAATATTTAGGTAAATATTAGGTAATATTTCCAGAGGGGAAATCCAACTCCCTGCACGTGCCTCCAGCTTAGAGTGAGATACAGCCCAGACAGAAGACACCCAAATATTAAACACACACCTATATTCAATCAATATAACCACTTTTTATCCCTTTCATTTTGTCTCGCCTCTGCTTTTAGGTAACCCACAAAGGTTGCAGTGGTAGGGAATAACTGGCTGCTGCAGGTTTCCTGTTGTTTCCCCATTGCTCAGGTGACTGCACTCCCACAAAAGGGGAGGATTGGGGTGGAGGTTCCTCCTGGCCCCGAGCCCAGGGCTGACACACACAGAAGGATCTGAGAGCTGGTTCTGGTTCAGCAGGGCTGGGAGCAGCAGAGAGCAGCAGCTGCTGAGGTGTGAGCATTGACAGATCCACAGGTGAGTGCTGGAACCCTGGAAAATGAGAATTTTGGACTTTCCGTGCTGACAGGCTCTGACCCCAGGAGAACACTGCATTGACCTGAGGATGTGGAGAAAGCTTCCAAAATGGAATGATAGAACTGGGATTGTGGGTGTGGAGTTTGAATAGAAGTGTGTAATATCACAGGGTGGAAAATTTAGAGTTTGAGGTTTTAAAATATAGTAATAGATATAGAGCAAGGGCAAAGTTCTAGGGCGATGACTGGTCCTTCTTTCTTCTCCTCCTTCTTTCTTCTTCTCCTTCTTTCTTCTCCTTCTCCTCCTGCTTTCTTCTCCTTCTTCTCCTCCTTCTTCTTCTTTTCCTCCTTCTTCTCCATGGGTTTGGCTGATTTTATGTAATTGGATAAAAAATCTGCATTGTGGGCCACAAATGGTTGGTTGTTGGGTTAAAAGTAAAAATAATTTAGGTGTAATTTTTTAATTGGATAGGTTTTTTTCCTAAAAGACCTTGTAGCAACGGATATGGGGCCATTTTGTAGCTTGTTAGTGAAATGCTGTAGAACTCATGGCTTTAGGACTGCAATATAATGAGTCAGGCTGAGAAAGGATTGCAGCAGGAGCAGGTGCTGAAAGCAGGGGGTGGTAATACTGACAAACAGAATGCCCCAGAGAGTGTTTTCAGAAGGATGGCACAAGGGAAGATGTGGCTGAACCCCAGTTGTGAACAGCCCCAGAAGGGATGGAGAAGCTGACCCAGAGAAAAGGAGTGTGTGACATTCAACTTAGGAAGAAAGAGAATTGCAGCAGTGAGGGACAGAGCAGGAAACCCAAGGAAGCAAGGTCGAAAAGGAGAACTAGACAAAAAAATAAAATGAAGAGAAGAGAAGAGAAGAGAAGAGAAGAGAAGAGAAGAGAAGAGAAGAGAAGAGAAGAGAAGAGAAGAGAAGGCACGGCACTGTCTGGGGAAAAAATAAAACCTGATTCAGAGAAAATCTGAAATGAAAATTATTGGTTTGAACAATTCAAAATGGTTTACTATACTATT